CTATATGAAACAGAGAAAAAGCGAAGAAACTTCAATTAGAGAAATTCTCTCGAGAACAATAATATACTAATATATATATGTATAGTGTCGGGTAAATGTACAAAAAAAAAGAGGAGAAACTTTTTAGAAACCGAGAAATAAAAACTTATTAACTTATTAAAGTTCATTAAAAAAAGAAAAGAATCACTATTTGAATAATTATAGCGAGACAATAAATTTTTTTTTTTTTTTTTTTTTTTTAAATCCTTTTTGTATTTGAATTATTTATGTTGTAAAATAAAAAAAATAATTTATTTTACAAGAAAAATAAAATTTTTCGCTTTTATACATTTTTTAATAGTTTTAATTATTTAAATGCAGAAAAAAAGACGGCAATAAGTAGTTATTGTCCTTTTAAGTCAGACTTACGAGACCTTGGTTGTCTGACTCGAAAGGAATGTTCTACTTAGTGTAATTTCAATTCAGCTTGCGGTCTGACTAAAACATTCTCGTACTACTTGAATTAAAGTTTACACTCATTGGCACTATGGCGCGACTAAAAATGTTTGCAACTACTTGTAATTCTTTTAAATTACTCTGTAATTCTTAATCAGTATAGTAAAATTTACAATTCGAATTACTAAATACTTAGTTTATTTTATAATTTAATATCTTTCTTTTAATGTATAATATTATATTTATTATATAATAATAAGAAATAAATACAAAAAAAATCTCCGATAAGTAGTAAATACACTTTTTAGTCAGCCGCGAACAAGAGACGATTGATGTCTGACTAAAAAAAGGATTGTACTACTTAACGCGAGTTTCATTTGGCTTGCGGTGTCTGACTAAAACATTCTCGTACTACTTGAATTTAAGTTTACAATTCATTGACAACAGTCTGACTAAAAAGGTTTTGCACTACTTGGAAATTCTTTCCGAGCTCATTTTATATAAACTAAAACGCAAAGAGTTTCGAACTAGTTAAATTCAAGTTTTCCCCTTTTTTTTATATTGATTTCACAAACTTTCAGTTTAAATATTGTTTCACAACACGTAACAGAAAGATTTTAACTACATGTACATTTTTCTTAAAAAAAAAAAATTTTTTTCTTCAAAAAAAAAATTTCTTTTTTTTTTAAAAAATCATTTTCTTCAAAAATCTGTTTTTTTGTACAAAAAAAAAATTATCTTTTACTGTGTAAAAAAAAAAAATAATTGCCGATTAAAAAACAGGAAAAGTGAATAGTATACAATATATTGGTTTTGAAATTGATGTAAAGTCATCAGGATACACGCATCGAATGTCTCAAGATGCTTTGCCATCACACATACACTTTATGGGTTATATATATATATTTTTTTTTAAGATTTAAGTATTATCCAAGGTTATAAAGATACTTTTATGGTGCTGATGCTCTGGGAAAACGGGTACGTGGAATAAATAATCAATACTGATACTGATGCTGCACTATCCAGGAATTTATTATTCATTAGTATCGATCACCCCACACCCCCCCCCCTCCCTCCCCCCGCGCCTCATCCAAAACCCTTCTACCAACGACTCTATGAATACAAGTCCACTGAAGAAGGTAAAGTATCGCACACACTTCAACGCATGAATAACTAAATACCATGCTTTAGGATTTTCCTGAATTTTAATAACACTTTGCGTAAGCATTTTTTTTTTTTTATGTTTGTGCTTTCACACACTTTAACGCTTTTGATTTACAACAACAAAAAAAAAAAAAAAAAAAAAAACAATTTTTTCCCCAAGGCAACAAAAACGCGTGAACATGAATTTAAAATAAAGAAAAAAAAGAACAAGTTGTAACGCCTTTTTATTTTTCCTCTAGATATATATATTTTTTTTTCATGCAAATATTCTTGTGGCGTACACCTCATTTTAGTATCGATCGACAATAACTAAAAACAAACGAAAATATCCTAATATATATTAATTAACGATGATGATGATGATGATAATAATGATAATAATAAGAATAAATAATAATGATAATAATAATAAGAATAAATAATAATAATAATAATAATAATAATAATAATAATAATAATAATAATAATAATAATAATAGTAAAAATAATAGTAATAATAATAATAAAAATAATAATAAACATACAAAAAAAAATTATTATTAATATTAATTCTCCCTATTATTTAAATTACTAAAATAATTTATTATTATTATTTGATAATCAAGTGATCGATTATTTGAAACAAATAATTTTTTTAGTACATATACACCTTGTACTGATTTTTATAGATAATAATAATTATTATTATAATTATAATAATTAATAATTATAATAATAATAATTATTATAATAATAATTATTATTATAATTATTATTATAATAATAATATTATATTATTATTATTATTATTATTATCATTATTATTATTATTATTATTATTATTATTATTAATAGTTATTTAAATAATAATTTCAACATTACCAAAAATATGGAAAAAATGAGTTCATGTTAATTAAAAATAATAAAAAAAAATTGAGTGTGAAAAAATTTGAATTTATAAATTGAATAATTGCGCGAAATGAAATAAAAAAAAAAAAAGAGGGGTACAAAAAAACCCGTTTCAGTACGTTGAATGAGAGGATAGTTTTTCGTTTTTAATTTCCAGCTCGAGTTCACATTGGTGTAAAAATCACCGATTCTCTATTATAGTATGTGTGTGCTATAGAGTATTATCTTTAAACGGTGAGGGGGGGGGGGAGAGAACTTGAACGATCACAGCAACTGCAATAGTAGTGCGTTTGGGTAAAATTTCTTTTTTTCCAGCCAATAGCGCCCAACCCCATACTGTACATTACAGCGTGGTCGTGCCGCCGCAAGCAAATGGATAATGGTTCCCCATTTTAATGGAGGGTACGCCGAAGCGGTTGAAAATTAAGTACTATTTTAAGCCCCGTAGAGAGTCGCACGCTCGTTTCAGATTATATACCAAAAGCATTCCCGCACCGATTTATTCGTTAAAATATAAATTTATATCTCAAAACGTGTTTTGCCATCACTCGCCAAAATATTTATTAATTATTGTAATTGCAAAAAAAAAAAAATAATTATTTTTTTATTATAGAAAAAAAAGAAATTAGAAACGAATGAGAAAAATTATTAATTGATATATCGAGGGGTCATTGAACATGAAATGACTTAAGTAATAAAATTCATTTTTAAAATTGGTTTCCTCGCGTCGTCAGTCACGTTTTATACAAACAAGAGTGGATATTTGTCCGTTGGCTCGCCTAAATACTTTTTCCATTAAACCTCCATTATCCGCAGTTCGACACGCCATTCTGGTTTTCTACAGATTCCTAGAATTACTCTGGCATTCCCATGTTTGTCGCGAGCAGCACTTTTCCCTACCTCCACCTTTTTACCCCTCTTCTCCTTTTTTTTCAACCCAATGACGCACGTGCGATAACAATATAATGAAAAGAGTTAAACTAATAATCAACGAACATAAAAAAAAAAAAAAATTCTTGCTAGAAACTCGTTATTTATATATTGAGTTCAAAATTTTCCATAACTATAATTTTAAATAATACTTTTCAAATAATTATTATCAGCATTTCATATTTCAAATATAAAATGAAAATAATGAAATTTAATTGATATTATAATTACATAATTACAAGTTTTTTCAAATGTAATGTAATTTTATTTCACACCTTTCAAATGTTATTTTCATTAACACACACGCAGTTAATTAAATTTTCCAATATTGACAAATTTAGTCGTTATTTGCAATTTTACAGAGATTCAATGTGAAATATGGAAAATTATCCCAAAAAAAAGAGGTGATTTCGATTTCAATTAATGAATAATTTAAATTATAGAATAATAATTAAATGGAATTATATTTCAATATAAAAAAAAATTAAAGTCAATATAATTTGTCACGTCAATTTATAGAGGGCTTAAAAAATTTCATTTATTTTGTTAATTATATCGTTTAACTTTTACTCATTTTATAAATATTATAATTTTTCCAATGTTTCTAATTTCTGCCAAAAAAAAAAAAATTTCACTGAAAATGAATATGAGAAAAAAAAGATGATATTTAAACAAATCGGTTTTTTTTTGGGGGGAAAAATTTCACAAGAGAAAATAGTTACATCCGTGCATATTTAGTTGATTGCAAATAACCTTTATTTTTCGTTGCAGGTAACAAAACGTTGTTATCGTTTTTCGACCGCACCTTGTGCTATTAACTACACCATTATCATTATACTTGGCGAGTAATAGTTTGCGCTTTGGTGTGTGCAACTGAAACGGCTTCTTACAGCCCCCTTAACGACTTTACCGTTGGTGTGAAACCCGGTTAAATCCCATCACAAAATATATCTATATATATATATAGTATTAAAAGCACATACTAGAGTTCTAATTTTTTTTTTTTTTTTTACCGAAGGTCAAATATCGAACATGTTCATACAAAAACTTATTACAAACAATACTGGAAAAAAAACTACAAGAACCTAGAAATCAAACGAAAAAAATGTTTTGAAAAATATCAAACGCCACGAGTTTACAGTACTTTGCGCGCAAAAAAAGATTAAACGCTGGTGAAAATTAGATTGTGAACGCAATTCTAGTTTTTCTAGTTTAGAGAGAAAGAGAAAATAAATGTTTATGAAGAAAACAGGAACTGCTTTTACCTCGTACAGCCATATGAAAAAAAAAAAAGTGAAAAATTATAAAGACTGAAAAATAAATGAAGCACCTCGAGGCGCACAGTCATTACCTTCAAGAGACTTGGATGACGTGCGATTTATTTGCAAGATTGTTTTCTTTCTTTTTTTTTTTGTGCCCCCTTTCTCTCATCTAATTAAATACCCTTAGAAAAATGTATATTAAATTTGCAACTTGACAAAATGAAAATAATAATAATAAAACCAGGAGGGGAACATCTTCATCAAAGACTATATAATAAACTGAAATTAATGTTTTTTTTTTATGAAAAAAGCAAAATTGAA